GTGCTTGTTGTGAGCTGCAGATAAAATTCCATGTTCACATGATTGCAGGAGGCTTATAAGGAAGTGGCCTTAACCCTAAGAAAAAGGAGCTTTGAGACGGGTGAGTGCTTTGTAGGCCAGGTACGCTGGTGGTTACGTGTCCTTCCTTCTCCAGATCAAATCCTGCTGCTTCTAATGACAGGCCCGTGGTCACCGTCCCCAGGAGCGGTGATCCCAGACCTTGCCCCTGCACGGCAGGACCTGAGCAGCCCTGAGATCTGAAAAGAGCAGCCTTCACGTGCCTACAAGAGAAACACTCTCTTTCTACAAGCGTTTCTTTAATCTTTGCTTTCTCTATAATTAAAGTAGAAAATGTTTGTCTTCTCTTCGAGGCAAAGGTTATGATGAGCAAGCTGGCTTGGATTGTGTTATTTATTATTTTTTTTAGGACAAAAAGGGAGGAAAAAAATGAGTGAATGAGAATCTGCTGCTGCTGGTGTTGCATCATTTATTGAGAGCTCTGCCTTGCTACAGCATGTATTGCAGATCCTGTGCCTCGCCGTGGGAGGTGACATCCTGGGGAGCTGGCACTGGGACACGTGCCCCAGCCCCTTGTGGGGAGCCATGCCCAGTGCTGTCACCTCTGAGGGCTTTGGTGTCTATCTCCTGGGGCTTGGTGTCTATCTCCTGGGGCTTGGTGTCCACCTCCCGGCTGGGTCAGTCCTACCTGTCCCACTGGGTCTTGGGCAGAGATGTTGGTGCCACCGCTGCCCTGGGTGGGAGCGAGAAGAGGTTGAGAGGGGTCCTCCTGTGTCCAGCCCTCCTTCGTGTTGACCTGCTTCAGCTGCAGGGCTCCGATCAGAACAACGCTGCTGCAGAGCCTCGGGTTCTACACGGTTGATGTTTAAGACAAAGAAAGAAAGAAAAAAAAAAAAAAACCCTGGTGAAGGTAGACATCTTAACACGTCAACCTCCGCTCCGTCCTGCTCTGGGCTGTGGTGGAACTCACTGCTCTCTGGGGCTTGGTAAGCTGCGACGGGTTGGAGTTGCGCTGTGCGTGTCTTGTCTTTGCCTAAAACCTGTGTGGACCTTTGTGCTGGGCACCCGGATGGGCTGATGAAAACGCCAAGGAGGAGGCTGAGAAAGCTCTTTCTGTGTTTCCCAGCTTTGCTCTTTTTCTCTTCTTTTTTTTTTTTTTTTTTTTTTGTGGTTTTTTTTTTTTTTTTTGTTTGTTTTTTTTTTTTTAATATTGTTGGACTCGATGATCTCGGTTTTTTTTTTTTTTTTTTTTTGGTGGGCTTTTTTTTTCTTTATTTTATTTTAAAGGCACCACTGTAGTTTCTAGTCATAGAAATGCTGCAGAGCCTTTCCTTGGCCGGTCTGACCCATCTTCCATCCCCTCCAAACACCTCGCGGAGGAGAGGAAGCCTGTTTTCTTGTAAACAGAGGTGGAGAGGAAAAACTAACCCAGCAGTAGCTCCTCTGCTTGGATCCTCATGGCTTTCCAAGCCCTTTCAAAGACTTAAACCAGTCTTTCTTCAAATGCAATAATTTTTACTTCCCCTTGAAACCTAAAAATAAAAGGGTTGGGGAGGGGGCTAAGGCTTCGTTGCTGGTGGCATGTCCTCTTTCTGGAGGCTCTCCGTCCCCGGAAGGTTAATAATCAGTCTGGGGTTGGCGAGGGAATGAACGGCTGCGGGAAAGGAGGGAAGGAGGGGGGAAAAAAAAAAAAGAAAAAGGCAAAAATAATGGCGAGAGTGAGACTTTTATTGTGAAGCAGCCCGTGCTTGGCAGTTGGCTTTTGTTGGGACTGCTGCAAGAGCAGACATTTCTCGGCGGGGAGGGTGGGTATAGGATTTCCCTGCCAATCCGCGGCCGACGACTTGGGCATGGGGAGTGTGAGCAGAAAGGGAAGTTTGCTCTGAATTTAAGGGAGGGCCGGGGGGGAAAAAAACCCCAAACCCAACACACACACACACACACAAAATGGAGGTATTGCCACTTGGGGTGAAGTTGCTGTGAAGTTGGCTGGGTGGAGCCGTGGGCTGGTGGGAATGAATGGGCTGGGGGGGTGCCTGGTGGGTGCCCCTGGGTGCCGGGTGGTGATGGAGCATCAAGGGGAGAACACTAGCCTGGGGGAAACAGGCTTCGAGTGCTTCCTGTAGCTTCCTTTGATCCAAATGCTTCAAAATTCACAGTTGGCTCTTTTTATTATTACTAGTATTATTATTATTTTATTTTCTACCTTGATGCTGAGTTTTGTTTGTTTCAGAACAAGGCATGGAAGTTGTAGAGCTGCTGGCGAGGGATGTGTCTCAGATAAGGGACCAAGAGAGCCCATCAGGTGCCACCTTGCCTTGGCACCAAGCTTTTTCACTCTCAGGGAAAAAGCTGTAATTTCTCTTTGGCCTCTCTTGGCGCTGGAAAATCTACTTGGAGAGTTTCTGCCGCTGGCCAGGATCCGGGGCAGCCCCAAGCTCCTGGTAATTGCAGTGAGAGGGAGGGTGGTCGTTAACTGCCGAGGTCTGATTGACTCCAGGGTTCCTGCCATGGCTCTTTTTTCAGCAGCAACAACACCTCTGCGGAAGGGAGAGCGTGGATGATTTGTGGAGTGGGTTTGCTGCATAAAAAATAAAACCTAAGAATCGAATGGGTAAAAATGACCTGCTGAAAATCCCGGGGCTTCCGGTATGAGTCAGTTTAATAGCAGGAATACCAAGACTTTTCCTTGTTGCAACAAAGGTTGGGAGAACAGGCTGGTCCCTGTTAGACAGAGGCTCTTTATCTGCTGCTGGTGTCTGTGGTGAGGGCCCAGGTTCTCTTTGCATTAGTCTTGCAGCAGGGTAAGTCCGTGAGGAAAATGAAGTTATTACTGGTTTACAAGAAGTCTGGGTAGAGGAGAGGTAGGGCTTAAAAGCAGATGTTTGCAGCAAGGGCATATATATATTATTGGCTTAGCAAATAAATACATAAAAGAAAAGCTGATGTTACAGTTTTGGGCTGTGCTTTTATGATGGTTTCTGGATGGAAGGTGTTGGCCAGTGTCTGCTGGGGGGATGTGCTGGTTCAGGCTGTCTCATCGCTTGGCTGAGCTGGGGTTTCAGATGCTCACAGCTTGCTTTTTGGTGTGTCTCACACACATCTGAAGGTGATACGTTTGGGGCACAGGTTCCTTCTTGCTGAGAGCATCTAGACATGGCTGTGTTTGGTGTTTAATGGCACTCGGGGACAGGCAGCCACCCACAGCCACCTTCCTCCTCCTCCTCCTCGCTGGAGGAGCAATCCTTGAAGGTGCCCTGAGCTCCATGCGGGCAGGTGGTGGAGGCTTTCCCTTCGAGGTTCCTCCTTGAGCAGTAATCTTTGAAGGTGCCCTGAGCTCCGTGCAGGCAGGCGGTGGAGGCTTTCCCTTCGAGGTTCCTCCTTCCCATCAGCTGTCTCTTGCTGTGCTGGTGGTGGTGTTTAGGTACAGGCCAGGATGGTCCCGCAGGTGCTGTGGTGGCTCAGGGGCAGGGACCTGGTGCTGGATGAGCCCTCCCTGGTCTGCACAAGTACAGGCCAGGGTGGTCCCGCAGGTGCAGGGGGGTGCCCCCACCCAGGGGCAGGGACCCGGTGCTGGATGAGCCCTCCCTGGTCTGCACAGGTTGGGGGGCTGCTGAGATCGGGGGGAAGGAAGAAAGACCCCACACTGTGATACCTGCTGTTGGAGCTGAGTCCCTTCAGAAACAAAGATGAGAGGGTGGCTGGTAATAGCAACAGCAACACCAAAGCTCATCTCTCCCACCAGCTTCAGACAGAACCCGGTGTGGGGAAGGGCGAGCTGCTGGTGGGGACTGGTTTTGGGGCTGATACACTGGGCTTTGGCTGTGCCTCTTACCTCTCTTTGGTTGCTCTATGGGAGATGGGCAGGTTGGGGTGGGTTTTTTTTCTTTCTTTATCACTCAGTGCACTTTAAACCTCGTGATTTGCATGGCTGCGGGCACCATCTGCTCTCCGTGCTGGCCTGTACCACTTGGCCTGACCCGGGGCTTATTCTCCTCCCGCGTCGCAGGCAGCGAGGTGAGCCCTTCACCCAGTCGAGGGGGGACATCACCACCTCCCCCAACACACAAGCCATCACCACCTTTCCTTCTCAGACCAGCTTCTCCCCTTAAACACCGAGCTGTGTCAAAGGACCCCATCTCTTTGTGTATTTGGGGGGTTTTATGCCTTTTTCCTTTTGTTTTGGTAGCTTTTTGTTCTTTTTTGTGTGTGTGTGTGTCTTGCCACTTCAAAAAAAAGAAAAGAGAAAGGGAAGGTATTGAGGCTGCAAACCTGATCTAGCACCGTGACTCCAGGCGTGTGAAAGGCAGGAGATGAGCAGGTGTTCCCTTCTTACAAAAAAATTAAAAAAAGAGACGGGGGAAAAAAGAAAAAATACTTTCTATAGAATTAAAAATAGAGCTCATTAACTTTAATAAACATGGGTGTTATGAATGAGGAGTTGGCTGTTGCTTGCATTTTGTAAGTTACATTTGAATGAGCTGCAAAAAAGCCAAACCCACCAAAAGCACGCTGGGGCTGTAAGTGTTGATGAACGATGTGTAATGAGAAGTTTGATCTGCCTCCCCCCACCCAAACCCAGAGTATTTTGGGGGGAATAAGGGTCACCTCCTTGAGATGTCTTTCGTGACCATTTTAAGCCGTGCCTGTCCAGACCTACTCAGCTGGATTCCCGAGCGTGTTGTGCTGGGAGAGACTGGCTGCACCTCAACCAAAGATGTGTGAGGTCTCAGCTCCAAGTCCCACCACTTCTCCTGTGGGACGGGTCCTCAGCTGGGACGAGCCGTGACGGTTTTTATCTCTGACCTGTGCCGTGGTGGCAGTTTCCTGGCAGCCTTATTTTGCAGAGTGAGGTTTGCCCCTGATGTAAACAGGATGTGTCCATGATTGTCTCCTTTTAAATGCACTGTGTCTATGAACATGGAGCTAAACCATGATCTTTCTTTTCCCTCCCCTGTCCCTTCTCTCCCCCTGCCCCGCAGCGAACAGTGCTGAGTAAGGGAGAGACAAGGAAAGACGCCTGCATGAAGACTGAGCTGCTGAAAGATATCACCAACAACAAGGAGGAAGGTGAGCACCTGCTTGGATTGAGGGCCAGCCCTTGCTCGTGAGGTTGGCACCTGATGGGAACAAAAGTGGGGGCCTGGAGGTGTCCTCTGTCCCCCAGGGGTCTTGTGTGTGCTCCCACGAACAGAGTGGTTCCCTTCTCCTGTGTTTAATCTGAGCATTGCTCTTCCCCACAAGATGCAAATTTGCTTTTCAGTCCCTCCATTGCCACCCACCTCCAGAACGATACCTCATTTTCACTTCTGCTTTGGTGTGGCCGTGAAGCGCAGAGGAGTTACTTTGAACCTCCTCCCCGGGCCTGGTTTTCACTGAACTCTGATCCCCACCGCTCCACGGCCGAGCCCTTTTCCTCCCTCTGTTAAAGTGAACTTTCTGTTTCCCTGCGAGTTTCTCTGCGGCTACAAAACAGGCACCGGTGGCTGCGGGGTGGCTGGTGGGGTCAGATGCTCCTCACCTCCTGCCCATGTGGGATGCTTCGTGGCTTCTGCCTTCATCCTTCTGGCTTTTACTTTGCAGGATGTTAATTTGACATGTTAATTTGACGAAGCCTTTCCTGCGTGGTTGCCTGTGAGTCGCGCGCGCACAAATCTGAGGGCTTAATAAACGTGTCGGTGGGATTAGGGAAAAAAAACCACAAAACTACCCTTTGTCTTCCCCTCCTTCCCCCTTTTCTTTCCATGGTTTTATTATTCCTTGACTAGTTACTTCTCGTAGCTCTGCAGGGATTTGGTGTATTTTTGTTCTTCTTTCCATAATAGCACATTAGAGAAGCACTGAACTGACCCCGTCAAAATACCTAGTTTTAGCTAGAAACAAAATTTTGGACTTAATTCAGATGTGTGCAAGTAGAGCATTGCTTTTTCTTTCTCTTCTGCCTGGCATAACGTTTTGTCGAGGAGCTCTGGTTAGAAAGTAAAGCTGAGAACAGGCAAAATATTGAATGCTGCATCAGAAGCTTGCATATTAACCGGGAGCACGTGAGGGCTGGTGCTGACACCGGCGGCGTGTGGACCTCTGGTCTGGGCAGAGCGGAGATGAAGCCTGAGATGTTGGTGTGAGGTCGCCTTGCTCTGGGAGGAGACTCCCTTTGATCCCTCACGTTGCTTGGCTCAGGAGTATAAAGCTGGTTTATTTAGCTCTTGCTTGATCTTAAGGTAAGTGTCAGGAGACCGTGGAGGTAAAAATCCAGAAGGAGGGTGGGAAGAGAGATGTTTCTGCACCTTGTGTGTCTTGACTGGTTTTGATTTAAAGCAAATGCTGCGTGTCAAAAGGAAGCTCCCTGTGCAGGAGCAGTCTCAAGGCTTTGTGTTCCACCCACTTCAGCTCGTTGTCCAGTTCTGTTACTGGGGAAAGAAGGGTCCTAAGATGTGAATTGCATACTCTCCGTTCTTGTTCAGATTGTGCCCTTCTCTTCCCAAGTGTACTGTGTGTGTAAAACCCAATGGTTTGCGTGGTCGGTGGTGGTGTGTATGTGGTGTTCTACACTGACCTTCGTTACCCAGCTGGGATTGTCACAGGAGTTCCATTACTTAATGTCCCTAAATTCTGTTAATAACAGTGTTTAGTGTTGGCAAAGAATTCACATTTTTGAGTGTTGCGTGAACATGGAATCATGACAGCAGAGTTGCAAGAGGGCATGACATAGTTTCTTTGAACCCTGTTTTCTGAGTCGGGGATGGGTGGAACCGTATGGAGCTGGGATGCGTGGGCTGGAAAAGCACCCTGAAGTTTGAGATTTCTCTCCTAACTTGAACAGCCATTTTCCTTTAGCAAGGAGAATGGGACAGGCGCTGTTTAATGTCTTCATCACTGACACAGGCAGTGAGATTGAGTGCACCCTCAGCAAGTCTGTGGATGACACCAAACTGAGTGGTGGGGTGACGGGCCTGGGGGACGGGATGCCATCGAGAGGGACCTGGGCAGGCTGGAGAGGTGGGACCGTGTGAACCTCATGAGGTTCAACCAGGCCAAGTGCAGGGTACTGTACCTGGGTTGGGGCAACCCTTGGTACCAGCACAGGCTGGGGGATGAAGGGATGGAGAGCAGCCCTGCTGAGAAGGACTTTGGGGGTGCTAGTGGATAAGAACTTCGACATGAACTGGCAATGTGTGTTCACAGCCCAGAAAGCCCTCCACACCCCGGGCTGCATCCCCAGCAGCGTGGCCAACAGGGCAGGGGGAGGGGATTCTGCCCCTCTGCTCTGCTCTGGGGAGACCCCCCTGCGGTGCTGCCTCCAGCTCTGGGGCCACCAACAGCAGAAGGACATGGACCTGTTGGAGCGGGACCAGAGGAAGGTCACAAAAATGTTGGGAGGGCTGGAGCCCCTCTGCTGTGGGGACAGGCTGAGAGAGTTGGAGGGGTTCAGGCTGGAGAAGAGAAGGCTCCAGGGAGACCTTAGAGCCCCTTCCAGTCCCTCAAGGGGCTCCAGGAAAGCTGGGGAGGGACTCTTGGTCAGGGAGGGCAGTGATAGAACAAGGGGGAATGGCTTCAAACTGGAAGAGGGGAGATTGAGATGAGATTTCAGGAAGAAGTTCTTTGGTGTGAGGGTGGTGAGAGCCTGGCCCAGGTTGCCCAGAGAAGCTGTGGCTGCCCCATCCCTGGAGGGGTTCAAGGGCAGGTTGGAGGGGGCTTGGAACAAGCGATCTAGCTGAAGATGTCCCTTCTCATTGCATAAAGATCCCTTCCAACCCAAACCATTCCACGATGTGTGGGAATGAAAATCCACACAAGCCTGTGACTGCTGTCTGGCCCCACCACTGATGAAGGTCATCATGTTGGAGATCTCCACGCAGTTCTGTTGCACGGAATGTCATACTCTTGTGGGGCAGGAGCTGAGATGCTCCAGTTTATAGTCTGCTGTTTTGAGGCACTGCATCCGCTTTCTTGGTTGTCTTTGGTGTGGCAGCCTGTCACTCACAGGATGATATGGGGTTGGAAGGGATGCGATCTAGCTGAAGATGTCCCTTCTCATTGCATAAAGATCCCTTCCAACCCAAACCATTCCACGATGTGTGGGAATGAAAATCCACACAAGCCTGTGACTGCTGTCTGGCCCCACCACTGATGAAGGTCATCATGTTGGAGATCTCCACGCAGTTCTGTTGCACGGAATGTCATACTCTTGTGGGGCAGGAGCTGAGATGCTCCAGTTTATAGTCTGCTGTTTTGAGGCACTGCATCCGCTTTCTTGGTTGTCTTTGGTGTGGCAGCCTGTCACTCACAGGATGATATGGGGTTGGAAGGGATCCCTGGACTCGTGACAGCTCAGTGGCTGCTGCCCCAAGGGATGAGCTGTGGGGCAGGGAGCTGGGTGGGTGCTCTCAGGGAGCACCCTGGAGGTAGGGGGTCCTTGGATGGGCAGTTGTGGTGTTCTGTTCCTTGTTCTTCAACTGGAAGGCGTTGCAGAAATGCACTGTTGTGACCAGCTGGGATGTCCTCTTCTGGCTTCGTCCTGGCACTGGTAAAGAGAAATAATTGAACTATAAATTTAAACACAACATCTGTAGAAAAGAGATCTTTGCGTGTTCCAGCAAGTGCTTTAATTTCCAGTTTGAGGGTTGAGTCCTGTGTAAAGCCCCGTGTGAGTTGTTCGCTAGACCTGGTGTCCCCTTCGGTGTAAAATTGCTCAATACAGGCGGAAAAAAGCTGTGGGTGAGACTGTTTCCTTGTTCTTGGGAAAGGTTCCTGTTCAGTTTCACATGTGGGTGTGAGTTTAGGTCCATCTTTCCCTTTGAAAGGGGGAGGGAGATGGAAGAGCTGAGCGGAAAAAAGTTGCCCTCATGTTTTATTAGGCCACATTGTCTTTAGCCTGACTCAGAGAGAAACTAATTAAAAAGTGATTTCTTTGCAAGAATTGCAAGTGATTTCAGTTCTGCTCCTAAATGTACACAGCTCCTGACTCCGTGCTGCATCTCGCTTGACCTTTTGAGGCAAACTGCTCCTTTTCTCATTCCCCAGCCCCAGAGATGGAAAGTTCCACCGAGGCAGGAGCAGGAAGGGGAGTTGGTAACCACGTTCTCCATTACCCTCGGTGTCCCCGGGACTTCACCCCCGGCAGCTGTTTCACAAGAGCAGCGGTGCTGCGTGAGACATACACAGTCCCTTTGCTCTCAAATAAACTTCACGCTGCTTTTAGAGAGTGTCAGGGTTTTAAATTCCTGGAGAGGCCTTTTTCTCTATTTTGTTTTTTTTGTTTCTTTTTTTTTTTTTCCCCTCTTATTGCAGAGAGGAGGTTGCCATGAACGAGGAAGGTGCTGCAGCTGCAAACTTTGTGTTCCCAGGTGCAGAGGTGGCTGCTTTAAAAGGAGAAAAAGAATAACCTCCTCTCCTTGCCGTGCTCAGCACTGGGCTCCCCTGCTGAGACTGGTGGCCAGGAGACCAGACAGAGCAGAATCATAGAATCATTGAGATTGGAAGAGACCCTTGGGATCATCGAGTCCAACCATCTACCCTACTCTACAAAGTCCTCCCCTACACCATATCCCTCAGTACCCCATCTAAACGTCCCTTAAACACATCCAGGGATGGTGACTCCACCCCCTCCCTGGGCAGCCTGTTCCAATGCCCAACCACTCTTTCAGTGAAAAATTCCTTCCTAATGTTCAGTCTAAACCTCCCCTGTTGGAGCTTGAAGCCGTTCCCTCTCGTTCTATTGTTAATTACCTGTGAGAAGAGCCCAGCACCAACCTCTCTACAGTGTCCTTTCAAGTAGTTGTAGAGAGTGATGAGGTCTCCCCTCAGCCTCCTCTTCCTCACACTAAACAGCCCCAGCTCCTTCAGCCGCTCTTCATATGATTTGTCTTCTAGGCCCTGTTATCTCAGATATTCACCCAGATGTGCACCCAGGTGTGAGAGCCCTGCTCCAGGGAGGCTGCGGCAGCAGAAATGTGCTTGGAGCCTGGCAGCCCCAAAGCAGGAGTGTCCCTGGGTCACAGATGGGCTCGGGGCCCCGTGGCCATCGCTGTGACACCGTGGATCTGATGCCATGGCAATGGGCTTTGAGT